TATAAATGTTTTATTGTACATATTTTGATATAATATGACACTAAATAGCATTGCTACTGCATTGAAATTCACGACATAAGTATATTTTTCCTAATGGAAGGCAGATTTCATTTACAAATAAAATTCGTAGATGGTACAACATATGTCACTATACCCAGAGAATTGGGCCCTGGAGCACCTGCTACTTTGGCGAAAATAACTGATCAGACAGGACCGGGTGGTCCACTTCTACTTCCGTTTCCAAATTGGGACTGGCATAGCAGTACCAAAATTGTAAATGCTCATTCAATAAAGGTAAACATTATGGTAATATCTCATGTCTAACAATAAGCTATTATTACATCTTATATTTATTGTTATTTAAATAGTCAACATAATATTACATTATGCATGTCTACTAGTGTAAACAAAAATTTATGAATTTGACGATAATATTTAAAACAGCATCTTTTATTTTATTTCAGATTATATGCAATCACATTTTCATTTTGGATACTGGTAGAATCGGACCCAAAGAAATAAGTACTCCAAAACTATTGGTCTTCGATTTAAAAACAAACTCAACATCAATTAATTATAAAGAATTAGTTTATTTTATATTCTTTGGATGGCAAATTGCTACTAACGGAACGAGCGCTGGATCACTAATATCGCCCGTCGTTTATATTCCTGGACAATCGGTTTCTGGATGCTCTCGATTCAACGAAAGGATTGTTAGTATATCCTCTTTTAATAAATCGTTAATTCTGACATACAGTATAGATACAAACTTGTCATACTGTATTTATCCAAATATTATTTAATTACACGATTAGTTATGCGTTTCGTATTCTGCGTGTTTAAGTGATTCATCATACATATAAATATACATACAGGTATTTATAGCCGATAGAGAAGGTTCAGGTTTAGTGATATATAATCAGGCTACGAAGAGTACGTGCAGAATTGAATCTAAATACATGAAACCGACTCATAATAATTTTATCATTAAAGGCCAATCTTTTATTTATAAGGCTGGTATCAATAGCATGACAATCATTGGCGATGGCAAGTATTCATATTTTAACAAAAAGAGTATTGTTTTATAATAATCATTGCGTCTGAGTTTATTACACATGGCGCGTATTAAGAATTTCAAATCTAACTTTAAACTGTTTCCCGTATTATTTCTACAATCATAATTCCGCTTTTATTTTTTAATAATATTAATATGTATATACAATATTTATGCGTAACAATTCGTAAAGTATAACAGGCTTTTCTACAATTTACATACATATCTCTTTTGTGCATTTTAGAACTATACTTTAGTGCTTTATCGGGGCTGACCGTTTATATGGCAAAAATAAGTGAGCTAGTAAAGTGTCCAAATGGAAGCGATGCTGATAAAATATTTAAATCTGTGGGCAAATTATCAAGTCAGGCAGGAGCAATAGCATCCACAAAAGATGCAATATTTTTAAGCAATTTGCGGGAAGCATCCATTGTAGCTGTGAACCCTCGTAAAACCCCTTTTAATTCTGAGAGCATGGTGAGATATCCAATTATTCTCTATATAAGAAATTATTTCAATACTATCCTATTAACGATTGTTGTATATCTATTAATGATTAATATCTAACATTGATAGCGATAATATTTATCGTTGTAAAATTTTAAGGTGGTTCTCGGTCAAGATTCTGAAGAATTGCTAGATATAACTGCGTTGAAAGTTCTACCGCATAAGATGTTATCGTTATCAAGTAAAAGTTTTCGTTTTCTTACTGGTACAGTAAATCTAAATGAGACAAACTTCTATATCTCTTCCATGGATATGATTAAAATAAAGAAGGAAATGTATCCTATTAAAAAGGATTAATCAGAATCAATTGGTGTTTAATATTATAGATATTTTAACATATAAAAAAGCTAATTAATATGTAAAACATAATTATAAACGTATATAGAATAGAAGTAATTTAATAGGAATTTAACAGGAATACGCTACTAATATGGAACAGAGGTTCATTTTTTAAATAAAGTAATGCATTCTCGTGGCAATTGTTGGAAGTTGTTGTAATTGCTGTCATAGGTAACATAATAAATGGCAAATTTGAACTGATGATTTTCTTATATGATCCAATAATTTTCTTTAATATAAACATATATTTATTTTTATTGTTCCTAGAGATCACAGTATTGTCTAACCGTATTTTGACAAGTATAAATTCTTTTGAGGTTTATATTACATTCTTTCAATAGTATTATATACAATGTTCAATAATACAATATTATACTGTAATTATATAATTGCAATTCTTTATTTTTTATTAACATAAAAAGATTTTGTTATATCATAATGTGCAGGTAATATTTTAAAGGATAAAAAATATATGAAATATATTATAACGTTTTGATATTTTAAAGTTTATGTTTATTTTACATAATAATTTAATGATTTAAAAGTAATTTATTTTATATTTTTATTGGTACAATAATAAATTGTGCAATAATAAATTCTATTCTCTATATGCTATTGTATAATAAAGATATATAAACTATATTTAATTGTATTTCGATCAGTTTAAATACATAAATAAAGAAGTTTGCACTTTATTTATTGTATTATAAATAAAATTTGACTAATACTCCATTTTTTAGATCCCTTATTTTCACACTGTTTACTTTTTTGTTAACATTAAAGTTAAATTTAACATTTAAAAGACTATTATTAATTTGACAGTTTTATCTCAAAACTAGACAATTGTATTGACATATGCTCTGTAAAATTAAAATTGACGAACAAAATTAGAAATATTAATCATTAACTAAATTCCATCGATTTTAACAAAGATATATTCAAATATCATGTTTGCCATTCCAAATTTAGTAGCGCTCACAAAGAAGTTAAAAAGCAAATTTCCTTAGATCCAAAATACACATGTAAAATAATATTATAATATTCGTATATAAATGTTGATCAATAAATGCTAACTTCTTTTTTTTTAACATTTCCCTGAAAATATTTCTATTTGCTTTACGATTATAACCTTAGTGATAAGTAAAGTATGAAATTGTATAGTATGGTAAAACGTTTTCAAAAACGTAATACGCACAAATATCAAGTGCACTTCTTCAACTCCGTTACTAAATACATTGTAATACTTTGCATAAACGATAACAGATTTTTGAAGATTTATATATTTTTAAGATGATTTAAAAAGTGCTAAAAACTTTAATATCAATAAGTGTGCAAACCACATAAAAAATATGTTTAATAGAATCATCATATATAGTTTTATTATATTAAAAGCAAATCGTATTTAAAGCAAAAAGTATTAATCATATTAATTTATGATACATATTTATCATATTTAAAGCAAACATTTAATTGAAATTATATATTATTAAATTGTATTATAAGACACATATCTACAATAGAAGTAAGAATAGAAATAAAGAAATAAAATAGGAATAAAGTTGTACAAGATATTTGAGAACCGTTTGCCGCGATCGGACTGCCTGGAGAAAACTATGCAGGTTGTCGAGCGAACGATGAAACGGACATCGTTTCAACTTGTGCGCGGAGATTTATCTATCGAGATTTACGCGCGCGTTTGCCGTCGTATGTATCTTTGTACGAGAAAGAAAAAGAACAGCGGGACCAGATACATCGATACGGAGAAAGATCGATGCATATGCGCGGCACCAGCTAGTAAGAAATCACGGAAGCGGATATACTATCGAGAGATCGGGAGCATTTTTTTTTCTCGAACATGCTTGACTACTCACTCTGTATATGTAGGGATAAAGTGAGAGGGGACTTCGCAAATGGTTTTTGCACGTGCGAGGAAGGACAATGTACACTCGAACTCGCAACGCTACTTGCGAGTCTTTCACGTTAAGATAATGGAATATTAATATCGACGCGAGAAACGAGGGGGAGTCGCTTCCTCTCTTCGACCTATTTCTATCCGCGCCACCCCTCGTTCTTGTAACGCTCGGGGGTTAAGAAACGGAAGCGGTGGAAAGCAGTTTCGTCGATACGCTCGTTAGACGGGAGAATTGGTATCGACAGTCTGATGCAGGCTCATTGATCGATCTGACAGTCGCCGCGAATTTAATGCACCGACCGGCATGGAAAGCTGTCCGGCAGGATCTATGTCCCAGGATGTCAGGCAGACAGCGTGCAGTAACGTGCACAAAAGAGCCTCGGGGAAACGGAATACACGGAGGCGTTTACGATATCAAAGCCACCTGGGAGCGTTGCTCTGAAATGGAACAAAACTTCGATGCTTCCTACTTTATTCTCCTCCTCTTCCCCTCGTACATACCTATATATATATACGGGTTTCTTCTCCGCGGAAAAGCAGCTCGATTCCTCGGTTGCATCTATATCTCTCGCTTCTGCATACGCGTTTCGATAAGAAGCCCGCTTACGAGAGAAAAAGAGAGAGAGAGAGAGAGAGATAAAGGGAAGTCTGTCGACTTCGCGAACAAAAACGGGGACGTACACACGGGCGCGAAACTCGAATTGAGAATCGGAACGTCGCGATAAAACAAGGCTATCTCGCTTAATGGAATCATCGATGGCGAGAAAATTTTCCTATCGGAACTCGTGAATGTGGTAAACTTCTATCGCATATCGCGTTGCGATTTTCGAACCGATCGCTACATCTTCTTAAGCATTAACCGTACTACGCGGTTTACTTTACGTATTTCTTTCGGTGAGCAAGAATTTGACTCTAGATTCTCAAATATATACGAACAAGAAAAAAAAGCCAGTTTTTTTTAACTACAAAAGATATTTCTCTATTGTTCGTCGCGCGAAAGGAGAAGAAGTGTATCGAAATGGCTACGCGATTTCAATATGTCAGCAGATGTTCGAGGTTTGGGACTCTTAAAGGAAACTCTTAAAAAATAAAGCAAAGGATCTCGGTAAAATATCTCGACAAAGGTAAGGCAAACCGGAAATCTCATAGGAGACGTATGTCGAATTTACGCGAAAATGCATCGATGCAAAGCACGCGCACCGGCGCGTCGAATGCATCGCGAGGAATCTGTTTTACGAGAGGTCAGGATCGTGATCGCACATTTCGCTACCAATAGAAATCCGCAGGAACCGCGTTCAAAACAAGTTGGTAAAATTAAATTTATTTGTAAACGTTAATGTATAAATATTCTTACATAATTGTTTGCAATTTTGAAAAGACAAACAAATATTTTGCAATCAAAATAGAGCAGCGATATATTAAAGATAGATATACAGAGTCAATGATTGTTAATCCAGAGAATTTTTGCAAAAGAATTATGACGAAACTAAAATTAAAAAATTCTTAGAGTGGATTTAAAAGGTCTACTTTATTGTCACGCACATATATACACACACATACACACACACATTTTCTCGCAAATAAAGTTCTGATATAGTAATTGAGTTTGCCAGACGGCAAATAGACACGATCTGAGATCAAAACGTTTCAGAAACGTACGTGCTCTTCGAGCTGAGAGAACAATCGCGACAAAAGCACGCGCTGAGAAACTCTGGCGGAAACGTCAAGAGGAGGGAAGTCAGAAAAAGTAAAATATCACTAGATGACTCTCTCGCTCTCTGTCTCTCTCTCTCTCTTGACCTGAGCAAAGAAATGTGTGTTCTAAGAATATTCCTTCTGTATTCTCAGTCGAGTAGAAAGCACTTTTCATACATAGAAATCATGAAGTTTTCACATTTTCAAGAGCGAGGTACAGATCGTTTGATTTGTTTAACGTCAAACTACGCGTTTACTTTTATTATACTATACATTCGTCTATGCTCTATATATATAGACATAATATAATTTAAATTTATCTACAATAAGAATACATACATTTTAAAATATTGACTAAATAATAATTAAGTACAATAGCTAAGCGATTATTAATAACAAACATATATCGCTTTCTTTTGATTAAAATATTACATTTTACGTGCGCGAGAAAAAAAAACTTAAAGTAGCTGCCACAAGAAGGGAGTCCTTGAAGACGCGACGAAAAAAGTTAAGAACGGATGGGAAATACCATCTGTGTGACGAATCGTTAATGTCGTTAAGGAAAAGAAAATCCAAAAGTGTCATCGTCTATACAATTGATCGTACGTTAAACTTTTTTACTCCGATAAATTCCAAACTTCAGAGATCAAGCAGAAATAGTCGCGGAACAAAATACGGCCGAGGAAATTACATTTAATTAAAAATACTCTGTTCAGCAAACATACGTGTCATTTAAATACGCGAGGTGTGACGAACATTTATACGCATTTGCTTCGCAAAGTTGTTAAAAATATTAATTAAAAGTTTTGCTTTTAATTATTGGACGATACACACAATGTATGTCTCGCGTTCATTCGCAGATATCTCGATGCTTCATAAAAAAATTTTCAATTTTTTTCAGTATTCAAAGTTTTTAGTGTGTACAACAAAATGCATACAGCATTAAAGTGAAATTTTACTTTGTAATCCATTTTTATTCATCGTCTATTTTCTACGATGTGATTTTTCACGCGATTCTACATTACTAAATCTTTATCTGCTTCACATCAAAAAAGATATAATTATTTAATTAAAATTTAAAAAAATTAACAACTGTGACATCTATAAATAAACTGTTACTCCTATATGTATATAAATTATGCAATGTTTCATATATAACAAGTATTTTAAAAGTACGTTTATTATTATTAAACTTTTTCTTATTTGAAACTATCGTGAGTTTATTTTATGATCTTTTAAGACTGTAGGATTAACAATACGAGTACCGCGCGAGCTCTCGGGGTTTTATAAGAGATTCATAAGTAAAGCTGTCTTGCAAAAAAAAAAGTAAATTTCTTGATTCAAGAAATACAAATTAAGAATTATATTATGTGAAATCGCATATTATCGTGTCACAATGGATAAACGAAGGAATATCTCGGGGATGGCTTTGCTGTGTCAATCTTGCCTTAACGATAATTTGCAAAACACATTTACCCTCCCATCCTCCGTCTGCACTCCGTAATCACGTGCCGAACACGCGCAACTGAGGAAAACCGGTGATAGGGATTAAAAAGTGTCTCGCACAATGGCACTTAGCTCGGTCGAGAGATCA